TGCCTTTTATTTTTGAATTATAACACGAGAGAACTAATTTTTTAAAAATACGGGCATTAATCACTCTATTTAAAATACCCCCGCATTTAAATTGAACAATGTTTACCATGACTAAAAACATTTGAAGAAGAACAAAAGAAAATTGATTGCCTAGTATTAACACTTAAGTAATTTCAGAGATAAGATGGGGAAGTCATAAACGTGTAATAGACTCGGTGTACATAAACTTGTTAGAAATTGTACTCATTAAATTCTCTCATTACAGTGAATTGCTGATAGAGAACTTCTCAATATAAAATTAAAAATTATTTCAGAAGCACAAGGATTGCTTTTTCAAATGGTGAATTTTAAATTTAGTTTTCATTAGTTTTATTGAACAATATACTTGGAAAAGCTAATATTTTATCAAATTATTTACAAAATTCTAAAATTTATTTTAACTGCACATGATATGGTTTCAACATGTTTTTTTAGATATTTCATCTTTCTGTATTGAGGAACATTTTTTAAAAATAAAATGTAGTGCAAATGAATCGTGTGAACAGTTTGAAGACAAAAATGACTTTGAGCAAGAACGTATCAAATTTGAATATATTGAGCATTGAACACAATATAGAACAAAAAATTAATTTTAATAATGTTATAAATACATTTACTTTACTACTGGAAAAGCGCAGAAAAATTATGTAGAGTTCTATACTTTTACAATATTTATTTTCTTCTACTTTTATTTTTGTATATTATGATGAAAATAAAACTTAATTCAGGTGTGAATTACTTTTGTATTGGATTAGAATTTAAAATAAAGGCCTATTGTGGAAATAATAGCAGCCATTGAAAACTATAATTAAATAAATTTACTGTAACATAAATTTAAAAACTAAAATGGGTAATAATTTTTTGATAATCTACTTAAAATTAATTAAATATTTCTAGAAATTTTTTTAATTGTATATCAATTTGAATGTAACAAATAAAAGTATCCTAACCTAAGGTTAGTTTTAAATTTGATTTAATAATTACTAGTTATAACTTATGTTTTGAATACTACAATATTTAAAACCTGCTGGATTTTTAATTCTAATATAAAAAAAGGAAATACAATAAAACTCAATATTTTGGACTGTATATTAATTTTTTATAATTTCACATTAAAATATAAACAAATACTGTCTCTTTTACAGAAAAAAACATAAACTGCAAGACAAATTAATACTTAATCTAAGTTTTATCTCAATTACTAAAATCAAATATAATAAGTAGTTAAAAACAGCAAACAATAGTATATATATTTTTTATACATTAAAATTATAAAAGAACCGACCTGTATCCGTCTTGCCTTGCAATCAATATGTTCTATGAATGGTAAAACATTGGTTGGCCGTTTGTGTCTATGATTTTGTTACATCCGTTACTGACCAAAAACAAGTAACGAAACAAAATCAATAAAAACCACACTTACATCAGCCCGCGCCGATGGTGGAACAAAACGCAACTGGTCCGTAATACGGACACGCAGGATGTTATCGGTGTTGACAACAGCGCCACCGAGACCGGTGGTGCGTGCCTTGGCCCTCAACACAAAATCACGACGGAACAACTTATGTCATTTAGTTATATTGAGTGTTGGTATAAAAATGTGGTATAAATGAGGTAATTAAGGTGCGCAGTGATGACTAAATATTACATAGTTAGTTAAAGCTTTTACACAGTGGCAAGGTAGTTTCTAGCCTTCCCAATATGATGGGGTGTTAGTTTGAAAATAAAATAATGATGAGTTAAATAGTATTTCTTTACCTATATGTGCAAGTTATTTTATAAATTTAATTGCAACCTCAAATATTGAAACATTTGATAATAGCCTAAATTATTCAAGTTTTATAATCTTATATAAATCAACTCATTTTATTTCTTTAAATATTTTAGTTTAGCTATTTTTGAACTTATTACAAAAGTTATAAAATTAAAAATTGGGTATTAAAAAAATGACCGAACAACTTTTATTAATTAGATGACTCATATTTCAATTTTCTTAAAAATTAACTTATGAAATTAAAGATGAGTATTATAGAATTATGATCTACCAATAAATATTAAACATATTTACTACCATAAAATCTTAATTTCTCAACCAACTATTTATAAATGTAGAAGTAAAATTTGAATTAATGATTTCATCAAAGAGTTGGGTTGGGTTACCTATACATTTTTTTTGTGATATAATGTTAATTATAAACAACTAATTGTAATAATATAGTATTAGGTTTTTTTTATCTTGAATAAATAAACAAAACTGAAATATTATATTGAATATAAAATATTAGTCGAATTTCATCATCAGAGTCATCATAATTATTGTCGTTAGCTTCATTTACAGGTTTTGAACAGTGTCTAATTCCAAAAACGGATCGAAAAGCTGTCATCATGAAAATTATTATGTTTATAATATATAGTATGCATTTAATTAGATTATAATTACAATATTTTAAAGAAATTACATAAGTTAAAAACAAATCATTAAATAGAAAAATAGAATAATAAAATTAATTTTTAAAATTATCTAAATTTGTAAGATCACTTAAAAATGGTAATTGTAAATAATTAACTTATAAAACTCTGAATTCATTGAAAGATTAATATCAATACTTGTTTAAGCCTACACAATAAGTGTAGCTATTGTTGCTTTTTATCTTATTGTTGTTCGGCGGCTGCATAGTTGTCCGGTTTTAAAATCGATCAGTCAACCTTTATAAAGCGCACCGCTCGCGTGCATATAATATACGCATATCTATTTTTTCATCTTTTACGTTTTTATTTAATTTAATCGAAGATCTTTTAGTAGTAAGAGATCACACCAAAAAAATACTATTTAAAAGTATGTTAATTAAAATTTTTGTAAATAAACTGTTTAATACCCATTTAATTAAACCCATTGTTTATTTTCGTAATATGAAACGGCGTGTCAGCTATGCAATTTAGCTACATGAATGTCTTAACTTCAATAATTTGTCAATTATTTCTTATAAACTGTAAAATTTTTTTAGACTCGATGCATAAATACTAGAAGACTTTTAAATAAAACTGGCACAATGATATTTTACATACACTAGATCATAATTAATACTAAACCATTTTAATCAGAATTAATGGAATTTTGTAATTCTAAAATAATTTTATCAAATCTTGACATTTTTCCTTCTTTGGGTAAGGAAGACTATGCACCTATTATTAACATTTCTACAAATTCAATTCAATACAATATGTTAATGAAAAGTACAATTTGTCTATCAGAGTAGGACAAAAAAAACTATTGTTCTTTTTTAACTTTGATCCAAACTTGTAAATAATTTTAATATAGTTAAAACGTTAGTATAGAATGAAAAATTAATTTTTTTTTTTAATGGTGAAATCAAATGTAATTTATCAGTTTTAATATGACAAAATGTCATACTTAAGTAGCTAAGTTAAAAAATTAAAATGCAGCTAATGAGGGAACTGATTAAATTTTAATAAAATTCAAAACTAAAACCCAACCAGAGTCTTAAAAAATAAATGTTTTTAATGATTTGTACAATGATAACTACTATACTATTTAATTGTTTACTATTCATACATTTATTATGAGTAAATTAAAAAATTAATAGTTTTAACTGCGATGTGAAGTATTATATTTACAATAATGTGTTTATTTTAATAATTTTGTCTGTTACCATTCAATCTCATCTCTCGCTGGACCGATTTTGATTAACAATTATTTTTAATTTTCAAATATTTAAGTGGCTCATAAAAAAAGAATTCAACGAATTAACTCTCCATGACAATCATGACTTTATTATATATAAACGTTGTCTATGTTGACATTGGGATCACTTCGTGTTTGCTCGTCAAAATAAGCTATCATCTCGTGTAAGTATTTAGAGTTATTTAACTAATTATTAATATGGCAAGCAAAAACAATACGGATAGTCATATTTATGAAACAAATATGAATGTTGTGAAACGTAGAATTGAAGAATTCTGGAATCGTCGTTTCATGAGTTCCAATTTAGTCGTTGATAGTCCAGAAGATCCCCAAACATCAAGACAGTCTAAAGGTGAAATTAATAACTGTAGACACTATTAAGATTAATTAAACTAATTATCAAGAAATGGGAAAACGATTTTATATAAAATATAACAACAGATTAAAAAGATTATTCTTTTTTTGATAAATAATAATTACTTTTCTATTGTAGTTAAAAAATTTTTTATATAATATCTACGCTAATGCATTTTTTCACCGTAAACATTTTCAAAATTAACTATTTAATTAATAACTTTTAAAATAATATTCTCTTAACAGCAAATTCTAGTGGAAATATTAACACTGAAACAAATACAGCTAAACCAAAAAAACGAACCTATCGTAAACAGCTTGAAAGCGATGAAATTATTGCAGAAAAAGTGGTAATTGAAATTGTATAGATATATCGACCCTCACAAAGTAGTAGAAATAATTGTAATATTTGTAATAATATTTGTTATTATTTAGAGCAGCTGTATAAATGTATTATTTTTCGAGATATTAGTAAAAGATGTTAAATAATTTCAATTTTAACATTTTAATCTTTTTGATTTCCAATAAGATTTTTAAAGAAAAGAGACTTTTTATGGAAGATAATAATAACATATTAATTATATTACAATTATTCATTTTAATTTGACATTGGTTACGCCTAGAAATTGATACAGCGAGGAGATATAGGAACACTTATTAGGAATCAAAAATCTGGAAAATATGGAGAGAAACTATCAGTTCCAGACAAAAAAAGTTATATACCAATTGTAAATGACAAAGCACCAAAAATACCAGCATATTTATTAGGAAAAGTAAATTGTATTCTGCATGTTTTTATATTTAATAGAATATATATGTAGCCTAAACATATCTTTTGATTTAACGTAGATTTTTTAAATAAATTAACTAAAATTTATCCTATGATTTAATATGTTCTTATGATTCGTTAAGAGTTTTCATAAGAATCACTTGCATCGTAACAAATGCGATGAAAAAAAGCAACCCATAGAAGTATCTTCCAATGATAATGGTGGCCCTAATATAGAAAGTAACTTATCCGAAGAACATAATGAAGTCATTAAAAGTACATAAAAAAATTTAAACTACATTTCGATTATTGAAACAATTATTTTATACTTTAAACTCTTAATACTTAAAGAATTAGAAGCTAATAATGAACCTTCAAATGACGTTACAATACCTGAAGTGTCTACTGATAAAGTAAAAGAAACACTAGAAGAGAAAATAATTCATTTAGAACCCGCAAAATATGAAGTAAAAGAGCAACTCCTAGAGATATCCTCTTCTGAAAGTTCAAATTTAAAAAGAAAGTCATCCGATAAAGATGAGAAAATCATAAAAAGTACACAATAATTTTTTTTATAAATATTAACTTGCATATTATGTTTATTGAAATTATTTTCTTATATTTTAAAACATAAATACTTTTAGAGGCAAAAATTAGTTCTGAAATTTTACATGCGACAACGTCAAATGACGTTACATTACCAGAAGTGTCTACTGATAAAGTAAAAGAAACTCCAGAAGAAAAAATAACTCATTTAGAACCCACAAAATGTGGAGCAAAAGAGCAACTACAAGAGTTATCCTCTTCTAAAAGCCCAAATTTAAAGAGAAAATCATCCGAAAAAGATGAGAAAATCATAAAAAGTAGACAATAATTCTATTTTAAAAATTTGACCTTTCATTAGTTTATTGTAACAATTAAGCACTATTTTTATACATTAATTTTTTAGAGTCTAAAGTTAGTTCTGAAGTTTCGCCTTCAAATATGAATGACGTGTTGCCTGCCGTGTCCGTTGTCAAAATTGATGAAATACCAAAGAAAGAAATAGGTAAAGTAAAATTATTTTATTTTATTGATTTCATTAATATTTATTTCACATAGAAACATCCATAACACATATTGTGTTTAACTATGTTTAATCTTATATTTCAAAACCTAGGAATAATTTTACTCATATTAAACCATTTAGCTAGCTTAAGTAATTTATGAGAAGTTTTTAACTCTTGTAGAAGTGACGCATGATCCGAACACAAATGAACTAGATCAGTATAACGCGCCTTCGTTTAAGTCCCCTAAATCTTGGTACACTTCGGACACAATTAATGATTATCTCAAATTGATAGTGAAAAGGTCCAATGGCGAAGTTCATGCTGTCGTTACCGACTTCATACCAGCATATCTTCGAGGAGGTTATCCAGCTGTCAGAAGATGGATAAAAAAAGATATCCATACATTAAAGTTTCTTTTTGTGCCAATGAATGTACTTGGCGGACATTGGATATTGACTGTGGTAAACGTACCCGAAAGAACTGTGACATCATATGACAGTCTTAAGTGTTATGATGGTCCTTATCCTATGGTACTGAAAGAGTATCTTACTGACTGGGAGATGGATAAAAAAGGAGCAGCTTCGTCGTGGACTTTAAAAATCGGCGAGACAACTCGTCAAACTAATGGGTATGACTGTGGTCCATTTACGGTCGAGTTAGCCGAAAAAATGGCTCGTGGAGACACAACTCCTATAAATGCGAGTCTTATGCCTTCTGTAAGATTAAGACACAGAGAAGAAATTATAGCCGGGCAACTATTTCAATAATTTCTCATGAAAGAAATTGCTTAAATGGTTTATATAAAGTTCCTAATTTTTACATTAAATTGATATTTTTGTTAATACGCTTGTATACTTCCTAACATTTTCTTACGTTTTACAAGCTTATTGTAATTATAATTTTATGTTATTTTGCTTTGTTACATTACTTTATTAAATAAATGTATATATTAATATAAAATTGACTTAAATCAAGTAATTTTATATTTAAATAGCTATGTTGTGTGAATACAAAAACCATATAATAAACAGTTATAGGAAAAATAAGTGAAAAAGTTGGTCAATTACACACTTTAAAGTTAATAGATTTATCTACATTCTTAATAATTTTAACTAATAATAATAATAATAATAATTCTAACTGATTGATGATTCATAAATAGTTTCACAATTTTTTTGAATGTATAACTAAATTTGTATCTATAAATATTTATTTTTAGTAAATTTTTATAATTATCAACAAATAGAAGGAGTAATAAACTTTTCTAACAGCTTTAGTTTAAAAAATAAATAAAATTCTCTTTGACACATTTTTATCGTTAAAATATCCTTTATTAGCTTCGATGCGACACAACTCCTATTAATGCGAGTCTTATGCCTTCTGTAAGATTAAGACACAGAGAAGAAATTATAGCCGGGCAACTATTTCAATAATTTCTCATGAAAGATATTGCTTAAATGGTTTATATAAAGTTTCCTATTATAGGAAAAATAAATGGAAAAGTTGGTCAATTACAAATTTTAAAGTTAATAGATTTATTGGTATATTTATTTAAGTGTTCAAGAAAGTCTGATATTTTTATATATATATCTTAAATTAAAGCTAATGTAATGTACTTTATTATAGAAAATAAAATTTGACCTCAGGACATGTGGTGAAAATGGCTAATTAAAGCTAACCTCTGGACTTGTCTTCGTGTTGAAAATAGACATCAAAGTTAATAAAAAATTACGATTTTTGTAAAATAATTCATTTTTATATTTTTAACTTAATAATGCTATAACTTTTTAGAAAATGTATGGAGAAGTACATTTTTTTTTTATAGATGCTTGATGTCTTTACTTATCATTTGGTATATTTTTTTTGTAAATCTGACACTTAACCTGCCCACGGGGGAGGATTTAAAATGACAACTTTTTCACAAAAAATTAACTTTTTCAACTTAAATTTTGAAAATGTTCCGGAAGGTCGGACACTTTTATATATATCTTAAATTTAAGCTAATGTAATTTACTTTATTATAGAAAAAAAAATTTGACCTCAGGACATGTAGTGAAAATGGCTACCGAAAGCTATTATTGTGTGAAAATTCTCGATTTTATTTTTTACATTTTTAACTTTATAATGCTATAACTTATTGAAAAGTGTATGGATCAACACAATTTTTTTATGAGAGATAATATTTTTTAATAATCCCTTTTCATTCGACATACTTTATCTTAATTAGGCTATTAATAAGGAACTAGCAGATCATATAGCTTTTGGAATACATACTATTTTACTTAAAATTGATAATTTGTCACAACTAAAAAATTTCTTATTATTACTACAGTAGATTAATATCAATGTATTTTTAGACGTATTTCTTGGAATAGTGTAAAGTTTTAACATGAAAAATATATATTTAACTTGATGACTAATAGACAATAACATATAGACTACTAAATAATGAGTGGTGTATGTATTATAACAGATATTATTTTAAATTCTAATCCAATACAAAAATAATTCACACCTGAATTAAGTTTTATTTTTATCATTATATACAAAAATAAAAGTAGAAGAAAATAAATATTGTAAAAGCGTAGATCTCTACATAATTTTTCTGCGTTTTTCCAGTAATAAATGTAATGTATTTATAACATTATTAAAGTTAATTTTTTGTTCTATATTGTGCTCAATGCTCAATATATCCAAATTTGATACGTTCTTGCTCAAAGTCATTTTTGCCTCCAAACTGTTCACACGATTAATTTGCACTACATTTTATTTTTAAAAAATTTTCTTTTGCTCTTCTTCAAATATTTTTAGTCATGGTAAACATTGTTCAATTTAAATGTGGGGGTGTTTTATATAGAGTGATTAATGACCGTGCAACGTGTTTTCCCGCTAGGATCCTAACAGTTGGCTAAGCTGTACCTTAACGGGGCAACGCTGGGCCTATATAATTTATGTCCCACTAGAAGGGCAATTAGCGGTTTCGTGACCAATAAATATAGACTCTCAACTAACAACGATAACAAGCATTTATTTCTATTTAATAGTATATAACCTGACTGGATCTCTAGAGATGTTGTGGTATCCAAGTTAGGTGAGCGACAGCGGCGAGCGTACACAATCCGATTGTAGTAAAATAATGCTAATAATTAAATTAATAGTAAAAGATAATATTGTCGGTATTAGGTTGTAGTAAATAAAGTATAATCTGTAATAAAAAAATGAGTAGCCGCAAGCGTGGTGAAATGTCCACTGACTGTCGTTATATATTTATTTAATGAAGAAGAATATCATCGGTTTTGTTTACACCCGCACATATCTGTAGTCGTAGGTACGTTTGTGCTAATCAGGCACTAGTGTGGTATTAAAATACTAATGTTGGTGAAGGACAAATAATGTGTACGTTACAACCGTATTTTTAAAAAATGAGTACACTTGCGTTTAAATGCCTTTTTAAACTTCATTTTATATGTTTACCGAAATACATATTTTATTTAAAAAAAATATATGTTAAACCTGGTTCCATTTATTTGTCTAATTGCCGCATATAGAGCGAATACCGAATATTCGTCTACTAGCATAAGTAGTCAAATATAACTGTATTCTTATATCATTGTCAAACGAATTTACCATTTTAAAATATCAAAATCTATACGCTATAAAATATTAATAGTATATTCATTTATATAATGTAGTAGAAGTAACATAGATAATGCTAATGTTAACATTCTTTGGCCTGTGCAAAATATTGACTTTAATAATAGCATGAACACTATTTCAACAAATTCTATATTTAGCTTTGGAATCTATCTGCTCGTTATCATTGTTAATTTGCACTTTTTCTACATGGAGAAATAAATCTGTATTGTAGCAGAACTGTTATTTTTTTTTACTTTTATATTAATTTGTTGATTAAATAACGAATTCAAAATTATTTGTTATCTTTAATCCAAAAAATCCTGAAACAGCTGTGACTCTAATCAAGTAGAGATGGGAATTTTAGTTCATTTCTGTGGATAGTTCATTAGTTCATAGTTCATTCAAGTGAATAGTTCAAATAAACTATTCTTAAGTTCACTAATTTTATTCATCATGCTGATATTGTTTGGCAATGAACTATTCATTTTATCACTATTAGAACAGCAGTACACAGTTCAGTTGTAGTTCACACTACTTATGGGCAAAAAAACTAACCTTAACCTGAACATCATAAACTAAGAAAAAATTATTATCAATACCCTCATGGCTAATGGTATCATTATCACCTAATTCAAGGTAGATATATTGACCAGTAGTCCTAAGTTAAATCAAAAATCTGATCTAATATTTGTACATTGTATGAATTTATTTTATTGTTAAACAGTTGAAAACCGTGAAACATTTTAACAATATAATTTATTTGTTATCTAATTGTAAACTATTAATCATTTACAGGATTTCGAACAACGAACCACAGAGAATTTTTAAAGAAGTTCCCGAACAATTAATTTATACATTGCCACCAATTTTTTTCGAACTGTGAACTGTTAAGTTACAGGTACTGAAACAGTTCAGAATAGTTCATCTAAGTAAATAGTTCAAATGAACTATTCGTTCACGAACTTAACATCTCTATAATCAAGTAAGAAATAATTAAAAACCGTATTACATAATCTACAGGCAACTCGGAATTTGATTTAGGTGATTTACAGTCTGGTCCAAAAAGATTCATATTAGAGGTAAATCATGTACAAAAATAACAGCGTAGTATTTATTAAATATATATTTTAATTGCTATTAAGCCTATTATTAAAAGCTAATAAATTATATTTAGCTAATTCTGTTAACAAAACCATGGCTTCAATCCTTCATTTTAATAGGTTCAATATTTTTGTGTATGGAATAATTATTGTTCAAAAATTAACTTTAATCATTTGTTTCTTATATTTATTAGTTATGTGGATCTAGAGGTCTTAAAAATGGAAAACTAACAAAGCTTGATGCTCATTTTAGTACATAAACTCATTTAACTCATATTGCTAAATGGACAGGACATTATAACGTAACTGTAAAAAAAACTGACACTGTTCATACCCAACTAATAACTCAATCTAAACTAGAAGTTGTCACTAATAGGGAATATAACAAAAGTTTAATTGACATAACAATTTATTGAGTATCCAAAGTATGCATTAACGCTGTATGCATTAACTAGAAAAAAACAAATTTTCAATTGGTCAAATAAATGTAATAAAGTTTTCATTAAAATAAAAAATCTACTTTTATCAAATAGGGTATTAGCTAATTTTGATTTTGATTTACCTATCAAACTAACTGTTGATGCATCTGAGAAAGCAGTTGGAGCAATTTTATCTCACGTTTATTGTGATAATACAGAAAGACCTATTGCTTTTGCTTCACATTTACTTACCAAAGCTGAAAAAAATACCCACAGTTAGAAAGAGAAGGTTTAGCAATTATTTTTGATGTAAAAAAATTTAATGATTACTTGTTTGGTAAACATTTCACTTTGGTCACTGATAATAAACCAATAGCCCATATTCTTAACCCAGGAAAAGGAATACCCAAAATTGCAGCCAACAGACTTCAACGATGGGCATACATATTAATGGCTTATAAATTTGATATAAAATGGGTACCTACAAATAGCAACCCAGCAGATTATTTATCTAGACTGGTGATTCAAAACAAACAAGTGAATATAGAAGCTAACGTTAATTATTTAAATTTTATACAGGAAAAATCTAACTGGATAATTGATTGGAAAAAAGTTAAAAAAGAAACCAAACAAGATCCTATTTTATCAAAAATAAGTGAATTC